TCTGGGATAGGTTTTTAAGTCGAGTGCTATTTTTTTGCCCTCCTGGAAGGTCAGGGTTTTTCCCCTCATGGATTGTACCCATCCTCTCCGTGCCCATCTCGCTCGTGCAGACCCGGGCTCCGGCGGGCGCCTGGGCTGGCTGCGGCGGCGCCTCGGCCGCGGCGCCTGGGCTGCGCCCCTGGGACGCCCGCGTGCCTGCCGGCGGGGCGCGCCGGCGGGGAGCCAACAGAGAGAGGCCACCGGTGCACCGCCAGGGCCAGGGCCGCTGTATGGCCCGCCCCGACGAGATGTCGACGTCTTCGAGGGTGCGAGGTGTCGAAACTTCGGGGATGGACAGACCTGAGGCCCAAGCCTGGCGGGCGCAAGCCTGGAAGATGACGGCCACGGCGCCCTCTCGAGAACCGAAAACGGACAATTCACTCATCGACGTGTCACTGTTGGGGGTTCTGTCCATCCCCGAAATGTACTGGGAAGGTTTCGCTATGTCCAGCCAGTGTCGAGAGTCAGGCGCCCGCCGCCTGGCAGCTGCGCTGCTCGGCGTGGAGAGCAGGCGCGCGAGAGAGGGGGATCGCAACGCAAACTAGTGATGATGGTATGGCAAAGCTGCGCGCCCCCGAAAACTGGAGGTCTGGGGCTGTGTTTTTTTGTCCCGCCGTTTCGGATGCGGTTCGGTCCTCGGCGTCTCTCCGGCCTCGGGGCACCTTCCGGCGGCCTCGCCGCGCCTGCGCGCACGCCGTGCACGGCGCGGCCCGAGGCCGCAGCCGATCCCCCCGGGCTTGGGTTATGTCGGGCGTGTCCCCCTACAGGGGGATTTTCGACGAAAACTTAGAAAAAATACCCCAGAGGGAAAAAAAAAATTAAAAAAAACGTCCCCTGACTATTTTTTACTATTTTTGGACTACTGTTGGGGTATTTTTGTTATTTTGGCCTGGGGGGCTTAGGCTTGGGGGGGGGGGGACCCGGCCTCTCTCCTGCGCCGCCACTGCGCGGCCCTCTGGCCGGCCGGGGGGGCGCGTCCCGGCCGAGGTCTCGAGGCGACGCCGGCCGTGCGAGGGAAGGGCGGCGGCCTCCGGCGCACCCGAGAGCCGGCGGGGAGGCATCGGAGCAGGGCGACGAGGGAGGGGCCCCTCAGGGGGCCGCATGCGAACCCTGCCCCTATACCCCCCACGATTTCGGAGGGGGAGGGTGGGGTTCACTTCGCTCGCGAGCTCCCGAGCGAAGTGAACCCCACCCTCGCCCTCCGAAATCGTGGGGGGTATAGGGGCAGGGTTCGCATGCGGCCCCCTACCCCTGACATTTTTGTCCGTCGGCAGCGCGGCGGGGCAATCCGCTCCAGCGTGGCAGGGCAAAGCGAACTGGCCGGCATGCAGCGGGGGGGGGGAGGACAGGCAGGGCGGCCGCGCGAGGGGCCCCAGACGCGCCATGCCCAGATTTTGGGAGTGCGAGACGCGGTCCCCGACACTCACGAACCTTCCCCAGGACAAGCCGCTTCATATCGTGGGTCGGATTTGTTGACGGCCCCGAGAGGCCCGGCGAGGGCCCCCTGGAGGCCGAGAACGCATAAAACACACAGCCATCCACCATGCTTTTTTTTACGACGCGCGCATGCCTGGGGAATTGAGCAGGGGCCGACCGTCCCGGCATTCCTATTGGCCGAACACGGCATGTTCTTAGAAGCCAATTATGTTCTAAGAACAAAAACAATGCTCTTAGAACATAAACCCGGTGCTCTAAAACAAAGCAGCCTCTGCCAGAAATGTTCTAAGAACATATCGTGCAGACCAAAAAAATGTCCTTAGACCATTCTTTGGTAGACCTTGATTTGGTCAACACCCGATGCGCTAAAACAATGCAGCCTCTGCCAGAAATATTCGAAAAATAGATCGTGCAGACCACAAAATGTATTTGGTCGACCAAAAAGGGGGTCCAGCTGGAAGGGGGTGATGCACTAGAGTTGGGGCAATTGTGTCGCAAATGTATTGCGCCTGAGAATTGTATTGCATTGTATTGCGAACAATGTATTGCACGCGAAAATCCAGCAATACATTTGCGGCCTGGAATATATATTGCACGCCCCGAATCTAGTGCAGCACCAAATATATTGCACCAAATCTATTGCATCAACCCCTTGTCGCTGGACCCCTTTTGGGTCAACCGACTTGAGGGCAAGGATGGCGGCAGCGGTATACACCTTCCCAGACCTGCCAGAGAGCTATGTTTCAACACTGGAGACCTAAAAGCCCAAAAAGCTGGGCGCAACAGCCTAACACCAAGACGTAGAATAGCTCTGGGATCGGCTTTTACGTCGGGTGCTATTTCCTAGCCCTCCTGGAAGGTCACCCTGATGGTCCGCTACCGAAAATTTCCGGTAGCGCTCCGCAGAGATCGGTCGCTACCGAAATACCGAAATGTAGCGCCCAATACCGGTATCAGAGCGTTCTGAAATCCGCTACTTCAACGCCCTCAAACGAAGATCCGGTCGCTACCGAAATTCGGGGTGCGTCGAAATCGCTACCGAAAATTTCTGGTACCAGACCATCTGGGCAGGCTTCTCCCCCTCCCAAGGTGCCGGCGGCCACCGGCGTGCGACGCCCCCGCGGCGCCGCCGGCTCCGCCGGCGCCGCCCACGCCGCGCCCGCGTCCGCGCCGGGCCCGTGGCGCTCCGGCAGCTCCCGCGCGGGGCCCATGGCGCGGACGCGCGCCGGCGCGCACCCGAAGGGCGCGCAGCTCTGGGGCCGCGAGGAGGAGGAGGAGGAGGGAGGGAGGAGGGAGGAGGGAGGAGGGAGGAGGGAGGAGGGAGGAGGAGGGAGGAGGAGGAGGAGGAGAGGAGGAGGGAGGAGAGGAGGAGGAGGAGGGGAGGAGGAGGAGGCGGAGGAGCATAGGCGATGCATCGGCAACGTCGGCGATGCATCGGCGGCGCTGGTACGGAAGGAATCGGGCTCCACATCGAGGTGCATCCCCGATGCAACGGCGAGGCGGCGCGATCCACCGACTCCACCTACGGTAACTAGGCTCGTGTCGTCCCGATTTCGGCGTTGGTCTCTGACATCGCCGGAATCGTTCGACCTCGAACGATCGGCCGTTTCCGAGACATCAGACCGTTCAACCTCGACCGATTCTGGGTCGCCGGCGGCTTTCAACGCTGAACGCCAGCGGCGGGGCCGCCGCCAGTCGACGCGACACGAACTCACCGCTCTCGGACCCTGAGTGGGCCGCGGAAACGGCAGGGCCGTTTCTCCACCGTCTCCGAACAAGTGTCTCCTAAAAATGAAGACGGCCAACAAACGGCGACCCGATCGGGGATGGACAGAACAGGGCTCGAGTTAAACAGTGCTCTCCGTTTTCGTTTTGTTTCTGTCGTCCCGAGTTCTGTTTTCGTCCCACGTTTGCTGCAAAACGAAGTCCAAACGAAGACGGTCCACGAAATTGCCAACACACCGTGTAGCTCGAGCCCTGGGACAGCACCCCCTGTAGTAAAACGTGGTTCCGTGAATACGAGACCGATGTTGCATCACAGCAGCAATTCGGCCCCTGACTTTCGTCCTGGGTTCGGTTTAGAGTGAAGTGATGAATTTCGGGGTCCTCACGCGGGAAAAAACATCACTTCACTAATCTGGGGCCCCATGGGGCCTCAGTGGGCCCTGGGGCGCAAAATAAGTGAAGTGATGGTTTTCGGGTCTCGGAGTGAAGACGACCTCGGGCCTCGGGCCCACACCTGGCGGCCGCACGCCCGGAAAACATGACGGCCGCGGCGCCCTCTCGAGAAGCGCACACGCACAATTTCACTGGTCGACATGTCAGGGTGGGGGCTCTGTCCACCCCCGACCCGACACGGCCTGGCGGGCGCACGCCCGGAAAACGACGGCCGCGGCGTCCTCTCGAGAAGCGCACACGCACAATTTCACTGGTCGACATGTCGGGGTGGGGGCTCTGTCCACCCCCGGCCCGACACGGCAAGAGAAACGGCTCGGGGAATGGAGCCGCGGAGCCGGAGCCGGAAAGAAAACGGCGCCGGCACCGGCAACAAAACGGCGCCGGGACCAGCAACAGAAGAGGCAATGCGGAACTTGTAAGAAAACAGCCCTGTCATTTCCAGGGCCCGCTCAGCTCGGACCCCGTAAGGGAGGCTTGGAGCCTGCCTGGAGAGCCGTGCCGACCCTCGCTGGTCTCCCCTGGTGAGCGTTTTTTTATTCGGCGTTTCGACATCTGCCGCCAAGCGGGGGCGAGGGGGGTGTCTGGCTCCAGACCTTTGCTTACTGCGACTGTTCGCAAGCGTGCGGCCTCTGGGGGAGATCCCACCCGCTCGAAACAGTTGCCAAAAAAACAGCCAAGATCTGCTCCATCGGCGGCGGGGGGTTTGGGGCCCGCCCCCATCGTCAAAACAATGCGTAAAAAAAACATCACCTGATGCCCCTGGCGCCTCGACGTTTTGTTCGGGACGGGCGTTCTTGCGCCTGGTCCTTCGGGTCACGGGGCCCCTGCAGATGTCGATCCAGCTGGGAGACTTTGACGGCAACACAGGGCTCAAGACTCTGGCCGTGCTTTTTCACGATGTTGCCGTTGTTCCACCACAGCAGGGGCTCGACCACAAGAAACCTTGCACAAGAATCCAAACCCTGAGACCCCAGGACGTCCCCTGATTTTTGGTGTGGGAGCGTCACGCTTCCGTATCAGCAAAGCCATCGAGACCCAAGAAACTCAGGGCACCCTGGAGGCGAGCAGGGTGCTTCTTGGCATGGGTCTCCGCTGTACTCGGACCCCAGCTGGGACTTGGGTGACCCGAAAGGGGGTCCAGCTGAAAGGAGGGGGTGGCGCGATAGAGTTGGGACAAGTATCCTGCAAATGTATTGCGTCGGAGACTTGTATTGCGTTGTATATCAAGTACTGCGTTGCACGCGAAAACCTCCAGCAACACATTTGCGCCCCGGAATGCATTGCACGCCCAAGATGTATTGCAGCCCAACACATCTGTTGCACCAAATCTATTGTTGTGGATGCCACGACAATGGACACTCTAACAATCCTATCATTGAATTAAAGATGTGTTTAAACTGTGTGGAACATGTTCTAACAATGTTTCGAACATGTTGTTCTACATGTTTAAAACATGTCTGACACATGTTTTAGACATCTGGAAAGTATTTGGCAGCGTCCTTCCTCTCCATGAGTCGACTTCAACAAAATCCATTGCACCAC